GGAAGTAACTGCTTTAAAAAAGCGGACTACTTTCGGCATTTGCAATTAACAGCATCAGGGTCTGAAATTTCGCTACCATTATTTGTTTGGTCTGACGACCCAAACAAATAAAAATCCATAAACTTTAGAGGAATGTTTCAAATTCAAAGATTGACAAATTAATTTCATTTAATAAATTCAACAGGTCAAGATTAAAGAAATTCTCAGGGTTATAAAGCTGTGAAATGATGTTTTATGATTAATTTTAAAATTCTCAACAGGCAAAATAATATATAAAGAGAACAGGAAAGCTTGAATGAGAATATCTTCGAGCAAATTCACAAGATAATGTTCGAAGTCTTTGTTTCTATTGACCAAAATATGCTTAAGGGATTGAAATCATTCGTTTCTGTTGACCACAATGTGCTTACGGTATACATGATTGATGGGTATATCTATGTTTATTTGCTTTTATTTGAATAATTACCGACGGTAATATCATATTATTTGATTTGCTTTCATTTCATAAAATGTCATAATATGTCTATAGTTAAAAAAAATTATAGTCTCTAAAACAAAGTGTATCAAGTTTGTTTGTCTTTAAGGAATTGACAACAGGTTTTTGCTAGTAATATTTTGATAGAGATGCTAAATAGATGTGAGAAAATGTTTTTAATAGTTGAATATTTCAAGAAAACACATATCAGTAGAGGAGATTTAAACATTGTTTTGCTAACTATATTAGAATTGTTTAAGAGGGTGTCAAATGATAATCTTATTATAATGCAGCGTTTATGTCAAAGCATTGTGTCACATGCCACCGGACGCTTCTATGAGCCAAATCCATGTCTCATAACGTGTTTCTTTTTTTTAAATAACAACCGTACAGTATTAATTCATATGTTTAATAACTTGGAACCAATGGTTTGTCTCTTTCTTCAAAATACAGTTTTAAAGATATACTATGCTCATATTTAATTTTATATCAGAAAATATTTATAACTGCTTCACAGTCTCTTTCACACAAAGTAGATATGTTACGTTAAGAACATTGCAAACACGCTATAGGTGGTCGCAATATAAATGCATAGTGTCGTTTTTTTAATAAAAGGACCCACTTTACTTGTTCCGTATGAGGGAACACGGCTTCCAATGCATAGTTTATTTATAATTTCAGTCAAATTAGACATATTCAGAAAGAATTTCATAGATTTCAATAAATTTTCGTGATTAAGATATTTTACTCAATGATGAGCATAGTATATCTTTAATATTAAAAGAATTGCGTGTAAAAAGAAACATTTAGGTTTAAGAACGATATTTCATACAAATTACTTGGAAGAATTTGCGCCTAGTCTGAGAAAAAAAATAATGTGAGCAGGTGTAACATTGTTTTAAATATTTGTTTTAAACTGGCTTTTAACGAGAGTAACATTTGTTACTTTACGTTAGCATACGTGTCAAGGTTATAACAGTTAAAAGGGAAGAGTTAAATGTGTCACACCGTTTAAACAATGAGTGGCATGCCAAAATATACAAAATTGTTTGCACTATTTCACATGGTATTTAGTCTTTATACCCAATGCAAAAAGAATGTCTATAACCGAATTTCTCCATTGATGATTTGAGTCTTTGTCCTACTTTTACGTCTAATGAGGAGGGTAAAAGCTGTACTTTCTGTGTGTCTAATTCTCATAAACTGTCTGCAACATTTTTTATTTCATAATTTATTCATTTTTTGGATAAAATCTAGCGCGCATTTGAAAAGTTGGTCAACGACTAAATTTAGTTAATCATTTTTAAAACAGTGGCAACGAATTAAATGCGATGTATTTAAAATGCCGACAGGAATACCCTGATACGGCACCGTCCAAGCACCCTAGTACCGGCACCGTCCAAGCACCCTAGCACCGGCACCGACCAAGCACCCTAGCACCGGCACCGACCAAGCACCCTAGCACCGGCAATGTCCAACAACCCTAGCACCGGTTTAAGCAAAAATAATATTAAAATATAAAATTTTGAATTTTTGATCTATGAAACTTTCGCAGATATGTTCAAACGGCAATTATAATGGAAACTTCAATACTTCAAAATAAAGTGGTTTGCCATTAACGAATACGTCGTAAGCTTAGAGCTTTAATAATTGCCAAAAAAACGAAAATGACGGAAGCAAAGTGATAAACGGTAAGAAGAATATATATGATTTTCTGCGTGTAGGTTTTTTTATTAAACAATCGGTAATTTTAAATTCCTTCTGTGTTCACTGGTGTATAGTTAAAATATACAGTGCAAGACTGCGTGTTTCATACTTGCAGCAAAACAAATTATTGAGCTCGAAAGATATTTTCATGTTTTGTTTTTATGGAGGTCTATTAACTTTAACGTAGTTCACATTTTTTATTTTTTTCGTCGTTTTTTTATAATTAATGTCAAAGTTCTATAAAAGTAAAGGTCCATTATTTACTTTGAGAATGCTATATTTTAATTTTGGTGAGTTTATAATGTTGTAAATTATAACAAATTAAAAAAAAGATCTTTTGGCAAAGAAATAGGACAAACATTCCTTAATAGATTCAATATAAACTTGATAAAAAGATCGTTTATAAGCAGCTGTAAAATCACATTGATAGTTATGAATAAACTAATTTCTATTGCAATTCTTTTGGAGTATTCGAAAAAGGCACCTGGTTATAAGATATAGTTTTTGATATTTCCGTGCCTAGAACAATAAATATCATCAACCCAGAAAAGCACAGTGAAATAAGAAATGATAAAAAAAAGGTTTGAAGCATATAGGTTTTCAACAAAAAATTATCCTATTACTTCATATTCCGTCTCTGTTCATCGGTAGCCTTTAATGTTTTCTAAATGTTGGCTTTTAAAAATCTGGAAAAAGTGTAATCCCTCGGGTGCATTAAAAACAGCAAAATTACATGAAAAGTGTTTATATTAGTATTGAAAATATTAAGAGGATATTTAAATAACATTTTTAGTTGCGCCGACCTTTCTTTAATTGCTACGGGTATAAGTTATAAAACCAATGGTTTTCAATCTTAAATGAGTAAATTTAGATTAAACTATATAGAACTGAATGATTGAATACCTCTGTATTCTTTTAGCAAGACTTTCCTTGCAGACATAGACAAATCATGAATGAAAACGATTTGATAAAGTTTTTATTTCAATAATGGTATCTAATCAAGAATCATAATGTCAAGAATAGGAGAAAAATCTTGGTTTAGATTGATGCAGTTGAAACGTGTGAGAAAATGCCTTTGGCAAAGAACTGAGACAAAATAAATAAAACATGTTCACAAAAGATTTAAACAAAAGTTGATAACTCTTAAAATAAATAATGTATCAACAGTAGCCCGGATAACAATATCGGTTTTAAATACAGGTGTAAAATTATTATGAAAATTGTTTAAACTGGTTTTGCGATGGGAACGCCGTTTGTTAGCTTGTTTTATGGTTGAAAGAAATGGAAGATAAACATAGCTTGTTTATCGTCTGCAACTGATGGATGAACTGCCAAGGTATGCAGATAAAAGAACAAAACACCGACTTTGAGAAATTTCACGAATTTTGCGTGTGAATATCTTTGGAAAACATGTACATAATCATATAAATGACGGAAACGTGCAAGATAAATATTCCTCTGGGTATATCCAACGGTTACGCCATGTATATGTCCGTTACTAATATAATGTGTATAGCACACACTTACAAGGTTTTCCTACACGAGCAAAGTTAGAAAAGATTTGCCGTATAACGAAAGGTTTTTTTAACAGGAGCAAAGTTATAAAATATTTGCCATATAACGATGGTTTTTCTATAATACGAGCAAAGTTAGAAAAAAATTGCCATGTTACGAGGTTTTTTTATAACACGCGCAAAGTTAGAAAGGATTTGCCATATAATCAAGGTTTTTTTTTATAACACGAGCAAAGCATAAATAGAGGATATTGAATGAGTGTAAGTTCAATACTGAATTTATTGCACGAGTTGAATAAAATTATATTATGCGAGCCTCTGGCGAGCATAATATTATTTTATTCATCGAGTACAATAAATTCAGTAATGAACTTACACGAATTTAATATTCTATTTATCACATACCCAAAATAAAGACCGTTTAAAGTGAAATAAGAGTCATTTTTCATTGACGCGCCTATAGTTTAACGCTAATATTTAGCGCGTCTTTACATTATATTTGTATAACGCTTATGACGTCACGTCAAAATATATGCACGGCCGTGCAATACCATATTTACGGAGTCGCAAAATCGGCACGGGAGTGTGATAAAACGATTTACCATACAACGAAGTTTTTTTAACACGAGCAAAGTTAGAAGAGATTGCCATATAACGATTTTGATAACAAAAGCAAAGAATAAAAAGATTTGCCATACAACGAAGTTTTTTTATAACACGAGCAAAGTTAGAAAATATCTATGCCATATAACGAGGGTTTTTTTAACAAGAGCTCAGTAACAAAAGATTTGCCAAATAACGAGGGTTTTTTAACATGAGCAAAGTTAGAAAATATTGCCATATAACTTTATTAGCGTATGTATGACATGCAAACTACCCGAAATAGATTTGCTGACCATCACCTAATTTTACTGTACCTGAAATTACAATTTTTAATAGAAATTATACTATAATATTGAAAGTTGTGTGTACATTATCTTTGATATCTATACACAAAATATTTACTGTGACCAATTCACCACTTCTAAAGCAACATTATCACTCTAGGTTTCTTTTTATTGTTCTTGGACTTTTGCATGGTTGTCTAAAAGTTTCCAATAAAGGTTTGGCAATATAAATCTGCTGTTAAAGGATGAGTTAGTCAGAAAATTATAAATCCTCATTTAATGATAACTCCGATAAAATTACGTATACAGCCTTTTCCAAATGAATCCAAAAGAATATTTCTCTCCTCCCCAGTGAAGAAAAGTCTCAGACAATATCTAAATGTTTAAAAGTATAAATATTTTGACAATTTCTTTCAGGGCCAGGACTGGTTTTCATTGTATACCCAGAAGCCATTGCGACACTTCCAGGATCTACAGCATGGGCGATTATTTTTTTCCTCATGTTAATAACACTTGGAATGGATAGTGCGGTTTGTATTTTTTCTATACTTGTATTTTTAGATTTTGTTAAATACTTAAGTAAGATGCGCGTATGCTTAAAGGCCCGTTATGTCTAAGAAATGCCTTTATTTTTGTTTCCCAAAAGCTCCTTATTTTTGGTGTCCTTTTAAAGTTTCAAAAAGTTACTCATTTGCCAATTACCAAATTTATCGTTCGCTTCTGTTGCTTTTTGCCAATTAGTGCAGTTATAGTGATTTTTTTATTTTCTATGGAAGTCAAAATACTACTTTGTTTACATTTTGATAGTTATATGACAAGTAATTTCATATCTTCAGGTAAATATTAATCTAACATGCGTGTCAAGTGCGTTGTTTATAAAGAACAAACAAAATATTCGTTTAGGCATAATGTGACTTTAAAAGAATAAAACTTGTTGAAAATTTAAATCTTATAAATATTGAAATTATTTTCATATATTGTATTCCACCAATTTATATTTGCAGTTTGGTGGGTTAGAATCCCCATTGACTGGACTGTCGGACAGTTTTTATCGTGTGTTTAAAAACAAATATTACCGTGAAGTATTAACTTTGGTTGTCATAGCGACGGCTTTCTTTTTCTCCATTCCATGCAATACTTGGGTAAGTCCAATCTTATTGGCTAAGATTATTTATAAAATTGTATGTTTCTTTGATTTAGAGTCTTGAAAGACGGATAAGTGCCGTCATTTTAAAATAAGCGCTAATGGCGGAATGATATATGACCATGCGATGTGGTTTACCCGTCATCCAATTGGTTTATACAGAATCTATTTTAGCTCGATTGTCTCGGAATCTATAAGCTTATAGACACACTTTCGAATCCGTTTTCGGAACCAACCAGTACTGAGCAATGAGTGTTAAGTTTCTTGCCAAAAAAGGAAACAACAACTTTCGCATGAGGGGTTTGAACCCATGCGGCTAGTCATCATTAGGTAACTAGTCCGACGCGTTTACCATTTTGCCGCCATTTACTGTATGACTTTATTTGATCATCCGCCCACATTTATACATATTTTTTGTATGCAAAATATATCTGATCATTTTGTATAAATACTCAAACTTTTTATAAATAAAAATAAGTAAGATTTTCATATGAATAGAAAATTTCGAATGCATATTTAAAATTCAATAACAATTTGTCAATTTTGATAAAACATTGATAAGCGCATGCTCTGTCAAGGCATTTTATTCCCAAAATATTTGTTTTCTAAAATTTCAGGGTGGAATGTATGTGTTTAAAATACTGGATAATTTTGCTGCTGGTACTAGTATAGTTTTCACAGTTCTGTGCCAGGTGGTCGCCGTCTCTTGGTTCTATGGTAGGTTACTATTGTACTTATATCAAATGTTTCTTGGTGGAATACAGGGTTTGTCAGCGAGATTACCTGTTAGGATTTGTATCACTCACTGCTTATGCCTCACTGTATATCACTTACTGCCTATCCCTTGACGCATATCAATCAATTTATACCACTCATTGCACTTACTCACTGTATATCGCTTACTGCCTATCCCTTGACGCATATCAATCAATTTATACCACTCATTGCAAGTTACTCACTGTATTTCACTTACTGCCTATCCCTTGACGCATATCAATCAATTTATACCACTCATTGCACGTAACTCACTGTATATCGCTTACTGCCTATCCCTTGACGCATATCAATCAATTTATACCACTCATTGCACGTAACTCACTGTATATCACCTACTGCCTATCCCTTGACGCATATCAATCAATTTATACCACTCATTGCACGTAACTCACTGTATATCACTTACTGCCTATCCCTTGACGCATATCAATCAATTTATACCACTCATTGCACTTTACTCAAAGTATATCACTTACTGCCTATCCCTTGACGCATATCAATCAATTTATACCAATCATTGCACATAACTCACTGTATATCACTTACTACAATCATTGATCATAACTCACCGTATATCACTCATAGTACATTTCTCACTTTACACGACTCGCTGTTTATCACTCACCGCAATCATTGAACATAACTCACTGTTTAATGTATATCACTCACTGTATATCGCTTATAGCACAATACTCACTGCAAACCACTCACTGTATATATACTCACTGTATATCACTCACCGCAATCATTACACATAAGTCACTGAATATTACTATTTGCACATTACTTAACGCACACTGTTCAATGTATATCAATTATATATACATCATTCAGTGTATATCACTTGCTGCATATCACATACTATATTTCACTCACTTCATATCACTTATTGTATATAACTTACAGTATTTCACTCACTATATATACCACCCACATAACATTCTGTATGTCACTCACTATATGTCACATATTGCGCACCACTTACTTTCAAATACATTAACACGACTGTCCTTATGCACAGAGCCTAATTTTATATAATAAAAAAATCAATCATTAGAAAATTTAATACACTGAGAAAAAAGATGTCAATGTCAGTGTCAAGATTATACCAATTTAAAATGGATGTTTTGACTAAAAACTTTCATTCAAAATTATCACACAGCAGAGAAACGTAAGACACAAATGAGCCGCGTCACAACAAAACCAACATATGGATGCGCAAGCTGGTCTGGATCCATGCTGGTCGCAAACCCACTATGTTGGTTTTGTCATGACGCTGCTCAAATATAGTATTTATACATTACTGTGTTCTTTTACATCATTGAAATACAATTTACCGGTAGTCAGTGATTTTTTGTGAAAAGAAGATGAAAGGTTCACTCCATTTGCAGGATGTTTCGACGGTCATGTTAGCCTTTTTGTGCTTGCAGATTTATTTTTACGATTTCATATTTGCAGGTATTGACCAGTTTTGTAAAGATATAGATCAAATGATTGGTCATCTTCCTGGACTTTACTGGAGAATATGTTGGAAATATCTGAAACTAATCCTTTTGTACTAAAAATTTATTAATATTTAGAAAAATGATAAATTTGAGTCACATCATTGAAAACAAACGTAAGTGGTTTTGCGAAAAGATGGATTTCCCTACCAGCCTGGATGCGCAGTCATGATTAGGCCTTTTTCTGTTCGATTTTTTTACACAATTCTATTAAACAAGTAGAAAATAAAGCAAAGATGGATCCCCGGACTGCGCGGATAGTTGGTATGGCCTCATTTCCTTTGTTGAAAACCAATTATTTTTTTGAATGTTCAATTAATTCAGATATCATTTTACAGTATGTGGCATTGATACAGTCAAAAATGTCTTCCGAAACGAATTCTTGTTGTGATACTCTGTTCAAAGGGTTGACAATGCCACTGTCGCACAAGGCGTATGTTTTTCAGGATATTCAATAACACTAATTGCCAACCTAAACACCGTTGTTTTTATTTACGACAATAACAGTTACTGTCGTCTGCATCGCCTGTAAACGGAAGTGATGTATATAATGATAATTTAGAAATTGACCAATCGTTGCCTTTCAGATAATTGTAATCTCAAGCATTCTACATTACACACCGCTGGTATATCAAGGGTCTGCGCATAAGTACGTGTACCCGGATTATGCTAACGCCATTGGTTGGATGATTGCGTGCGCATCTATGAGCATCATACCATTGTATGCCATCTGCTATCTACTAAGAGCTAAGGGAACACTGAAAGAGGTAAATATGCAAATTAACCCCCAAACGCCGCTTGAATTGTGAAATGTATTGGACCTGCTTTCAATTTGGACTTGTTTCGTATAAGAACAAGCTTTGATGTCTAGGAATTTGTCTAAGAAGTTGGAACTAAGTTAAATGTTATCCTTATAGACAATCTTGACTTTATTTCTTTTACTTATTTATCAGTATGTTTTATCTATATACATGTTTGTTTGATATAGCAAAATGTGCAAGAGTGATCTTTTTTTTAGATCTCTATGTGGTCGCTATTTGACATATTGTTTGTTGATTTTTAAAGATTCTGTTGGGTTTTCTTTTTTTTTTTAATAATCTGTTACTATTTAAAAAATATATGGTACTTTTGTTATCTAGAGGATATCCCTTGGTATATCTCCGAAATGGGAGCATAAAGAAATAAAAGAAAAACGGGAAGTTAAAAGATTTAAGGTAAGTTGATTTTCTTCAATATGTTTTTGCACGAGTTTCACGCATATATTGCGGTTAAACTGGATTTTTTTCTTAAAATGTACGCTTTTTACAAAAGCTTTTTTAAGTAAGTTTTGTTTTAATTTTCTTATACTTTTTTATGAAAACTCTACATTTGTATCATTTCAGAGACAGCATTGGGTGTATATTTAAGTATTAACAATAAGCATTGGCTGAAGAGATGAAGGCCAACAAGTCCTATTGTTCAAGCAAATCCATGAGTTCTTAGAGAGGGACCAAGTTAAACTGTTCCTGATTTATCCATAACTTTGTTACTTCTATTGTACTACTATTACATGATTAGTCCATGATTTTACCAATGTTTTATTTTATTAGCATGTTAATTATGTCCGCAATTATAATGTTTGACTAGGAGTATCCTTGTTTGCCAGGAGATATTTTTAGAAATATTTGTATGTCCACAATGAAAGTGAATGAGTACTATGCTTTACTGTTTGGCACGAGACACTTTTTGGCAGACGACATTTGTGTACATGTGTTACATTATTGTATGATAATCCAGTGTGTTTATATGGAGATACAAGTTGAAAATTTTATTATTTTCTAGAATATGTGAGTAACCAAACAAACCAATTTCAAATCCATTGAAGTGTGTATTTGTGTCCGCAAATCAAATTGACAATTAAAATGATACATAAAAACTAATATTAATCAAAATCATGAACTTTTCAAGTCAATCTTTTCCTTACAATTACTGACAATAAGAATTCATTAATTATGTTCATTGTATAAATTTATGGCAAAAATGTGTTTTATTATTTAATTCTAAATTGTGTACAAAAAAGTCTACATTTCGCGAATTGTATCATCATTTCAGGATTTGTGTTTACATTTTGTTATTCGACCCGTCATTTCGTGTATCTGTATTTGAATTTTAGAGCATGACATCCGTTCATTCCATTTTTAATTTATCCATTTCACATTTTAGGATGCTTTTTATATGACAATGTATTTATTGTATTAATAATAGATATTGTGAATTTTTATCGGGTCACTGTTAACGAATACCTCGCACCATTTTTATTTAACATAAAACATGTTCAACATCGCATCTTTTCTCAATTTGATAGATATAGAATTGCCTTATTTCACAAACAAATCACTGTAGAATAGAATTTACCAAAACCATTTTGGTTCTAAAGTACTTCGATCATTGTTATATTTTCTTCGAATCTGCCATACTTCGCCACATTGGTGTATTAAGCAATCGAAAATGTCCGGCCCTTTTCTTCATATTCCGTAAAAATATAATTGACGGATTTTTCCGAATGTATTATGAAGAACAAACATATAACTTGGAATTTTAACATACTCTAGATTTGCACAACTATCCAACATGAAGAATATTGGTGCTCTTAGTACAACAATGAATAAAGCAATCTAAACGCAACTTTAAAACATTTTGGTACGGAAAATGACGAAGTTTGCCGAGTCTGTACGAGATCTATGAATTTATTTACTTTTCGAAAATCTGACACTTTGTGTATTTGTGTACGAAGCAGACTATGTCGTCTGTTTATTGAGATTTTTTTTCTTTTCTATTCTTTTTAAATTTAATTATAGACTGTTTCGGACCCATGGCTTTTAAACAAAACAATATACAAAATAAATAAAGATAAAAAGAAACAAGAAAAATAAATATTTCTCTTTGTTAAAGAACTATTTTACGCATTATTCAATTGTTTATTTTGTCATGACTTAAAGAATTCTGTTGAAAGGTTCAGGTATTTAGATACAACTCTTTCCCTCAATTCGGAATAATACGATAAAACTTAAAATTTTATTAGGGGTAACGCCAAGTTAGATGTCATACATTCACCTAAAATTTTCATATATACATGTCATTGCATAGAAATGTTTTGTTTTGGAGATTTTAGAGTAAGTATAAATGGTTCACTGTCCTAAATCCAGTTGTGTGTACATATTATTTGTTACAAAAATGGCTTTTTGAACATATCACGTGCTACATTTGTCCAATGTTTTGATCAACCATAAAATTGTTGTGTTTTGTGTCATGCAAATCTTTGTAAAGCACCTTAATTGGCGATCAGTTTCGTAGTGTGTGCTTAGACGGTACTCTCAAGATGGCGGACCCACGTGACTTTAAGACACAGCGCACTGCGCAAGATCGTCAATATCTTTTGAAATACTGAATGGATTTTCTTCAAATTAAATGCATTTAATCCTAGATTAATTCCTCGATCATTACCGATTTTTATGTGAAGTCTTCCCATTTTCCAAATGGTTTGGGCGAATAATCTGTGCACATTGTTCTGAAATGTTCATTAACTCAATTATTTAGGGAGAAGAGTGAATAACAAAGCTTCATACTAAACCGGAAATGCTTCCCATGTAAGAGTAAATGCTCTTCGTTTGAAGAAAATTTATTCAGTATTTCAAAACATATTGACAAAATACCTATCATGTTTTTTCCGCCTTGGACCTTGTCCGAAAGTCAATATACATTCGCGACTTTGCCTGACAGTTTGAAGTTTTGTGAAAAAAGTGTAGGAACACAGATAACATTAGTAAAGTTTTCGTATATAACGTCATTTACATAGTGACCAATAGTGAACGTCTATTTGATTACTTGATAACGAGGCTGATGGCCAATCACGTGTTTTATATTCTATGTCCTTGACCTCTGTTGTGATGTGTCAAATTGTTGTACCTTTATCACTGAAGAAATACAAAACATGTTCGGTATTAAATGTCCAAAAATTATCTTTTATTCGTTGTTGTCTTTTCTGAAGAGACCTCTTGCAGATGTGATAGTAGTCGATGAAAAAACCAAACAACGTTTTCACAATTCAGTCTGGAGTGTAACAATGCGTCCTTGTCGAGAAATTTACATTAAAGTTTGCTTGACACTACACGTACAGTACTACATATTTTGATGATTCATACAATTTCTCAACATGCAATTGATTATAACCTACCTATAAGCATGATTTAGTAATAAATTTTATTATCGCGAATACATAGAGGATATTTGTTTGTTTTGCATGTAAGATTGAAATATAATTTCACTGAGTGAACACCAGATGCAATATTTTCACGAGTGGCGTAGCCACGAGTGAAAATATAATAGCTGGTGTCCACGAATGAAATATATTTCAATCTTATATGTAAAACAAATAAATTTTCTTTTTATTTCATGCGTTTTAAGTAATTTTAAGTAATTTTTACTGATTTTGCCGCGTAACGTCGCGCATTCTCCTTCGTGACGTCATCACATCATGACGTCACATCAACAAATTTGAAATATAGTTCTGTTAAATTTCTCTAATTTTGTTACATTTTTAGCATAATGTATGGTGACATCGACTTTCTTTTCCGAAAGAAGCAAAATTTACGCATGACGGCATTTATTTTTGCCGGTTATTCCATTCAGTTTTGATTTTCTTTTCATCCGCATTCAGATATAGTCCGGCTACAGTGAAAATTATATTTTATAAATTTCACTAGTGGTTTATCAGAATATAATCATCTGATATATTACAATAAAACACTGGAAAGCATGAAATAAAACAAATTACATTCCTAAATATTGATTACTAGAAAAGAAAGTATACTTACAAAATATGTTCAGAAAATATAGATAAAATAATAATAAAAGAAAGTTTAACGTTTTTTATCACCTAAGATGTATCAACTTTCAGTCTACTGGTCGTTTATTTATTTATCTTGTTTGTATATTTCGTTTTCAGTCCGTACCTATTTTTAATTTTCCTTAAGAAGATTAATAGGTTTGTCAGGTTAAATTATAAATTGGTCCAATTCAGCTTTTTATTGTAGTACGGGGTAAATATATTTTATAACTTTGATTTTGACATATAATTAAACATAAACACAATTTCTTCGAAAATTAAATAAATAACGTTTACAATTTCGGTTTATTCGTTTTCTCAGAACATGCATAAAATAATCAGTTACAGTACATAAAATCAAATTAAAATAACGAAAATTACAATAAATAAAGTTGAAATACAGTTTTTGTCTGTTGGAAACGGTCACTTCATTTCCGCATCGGAGAAAATTAGATGGTGTCTCTTGTATTGTTTACTTTTCAAGAATTGAGGATTCATTGTACCGTGAAATACGTCCAGAAAACCTAGAACGCCGTAGTTGCCAACGAACCTAAAGAGAATACAAGAAACGCAACAGTAAACGAACAAACCAAAAGACAATAAAATCTTAAAAGTGAACCAACGAAACTAAATAGAATATTTCAACAACAAAAACGCAGCAGTGAACTAGAACGCAACAGTGAACCTACGAACCTAAAGATAATTTAAAAAACAACAGTTTGCCAACGAATAAACATATAAAAATAAGCCATCCTAGTTACAAACTGTCTTTCAATTTGGGACTCGTAGGTTCGAGCCTTTTTGGGGGTTTCTACATGTGACAACGCAACTGGTTCCATGCAGGGAGAGGACTCAGGTGTGATAAAGTAATTGTTTAAGCTTTTTCATAATCGGGCCTAAGATGTGCTTAAACTAAATATCTATATAAGTATCTGAGTAGTATCTGGACGGTAAAAATGGCAAAGAAATGCGCTGGATTTGTAAACACTCACTTTAAATGATGATAATCGTGAAATTCTGGAGACGGTAAGAACGGGAGATGATATCCGCTGTGGTGAATCACAGTCACAATAGAAGCTAGGGCGATCCAGATAAAGGTCGTCACCTGACACGAACCCATTACCAGTGGCCCTGAGGCAAGGGTCCAAATATTGCCTGTAGAAAAAATGGAAGGAAAAAACAATAACATTTAATGAGTAAAATAGTAATTGTAAACAATTCCTGAGATTCTTTGTTTAATAACACAATATTTCATTTTTCAAATATTGCTTTGCCTGACAGATTTTGTTTTACTCTCAAACAACTAAGGTACAAAAATATACTAAGAAATAGGTAATGCATTTAATTGAAAACTCGATTGTCTTTAAATATGAAAGTGAAATTATATGACATTTATATGTCTTTCATCATATAACATTAATATATTTGATTTAATATAATCCCATGGCATTGATATGAATACATACCAAAAGCAAACTCCAGTGGGTGAGCATAAGTGGCCCCTAGTCCAATCGGTGACGTCCATTCATGGTGCTGCTTGTGTACATTCTTGTAAAGGTAACTTGTATGTAGTAATCTAAATAAGAAAGTGTGATTTTTTTACTACCAAGTCCAGTCACTTTAATTAAGAAATAATATCGGCCTTCTAGCGGTGTTTATCGGCTATTTAATCGGCGTTATTTTATCGGCGTTTTGATAGGTATGAATTGACCACGAAGGCCGTAGGCCTGAGTGGTTAATTTTTTCGCATCAAAACGACAAAACCGGTGTTAAATAGCCAATAAACACTGCTACGACCGATATTATTTCGATTCTAACACGATAAAATAAGGAAGATCACTAAAGTTATTTTTTCAAGCGGAAAGAAAACATCTAAGAACTAAAAATATAAATAAAATGATTTTTATTGTTGCTTTAAAAGGCTTTGTAAACTATATAATCGAGGGTGAAAACATAACAGCTGCATATACAAGTAGTCCCTTACCAGTGTTTATTGGCAGTTAAACACCGGCTTTTTTTCTTCTTTGTCTATAGTGACAAAATCACGTGGAGTGTTAGAATTGTAGTTATACACGTGGTATAAATGATTCGCGTGATAGCTGACACGGATTATTGGCTTTTTCCCAAATGGAGCTTCATTTAAAAGCTCAGGTGCCCCTCTGTTCATTATTTCAGGCACAAACAGCTACATGAGTAGAACCATCGATGTTCCGTTAGCAAGCTGGATTAATAATATCGTCAATCAATAAAGTCATTTCATCCATAACTATTTTCTTATAATAGCGTATGAACTTACAGGCGAAATGACGTAATCCTAAGCACATATTTCCCTTCTATAACGACGTCACTTTAACGCGGTTCATTCATAAAGTGCGCTAAAATGACGTTGTTGTTTGGTACGCGACTCATCTGGCACCCCCATGCCAGATGAAATTTCCGGCATGGGTAAAACTCTCGGAAACGCCGGTCTACTATGCAAGAATTTCATTCTTGCATAGCAGACTGGCGTTTCCGTGAGTTTTACCAATGTCGGAAATTTATTCTGGCATGGGGGTGCCAGATGAGTCGAGTGGTGTACAATGCCACGCTTAGGATGACGTCATTTTACCGTTATGAATGAAGTTGCAATTTCATACGCTGTTGTAAGAAAGTAGTTACGGTCGTCATGATATAAATTTCCATTGAAAATAAAGAGAAAGAATTTAAAATATAATGGAATATGGTAGAATATGCAAGAAAAAATATCTGACATATGTTTGCGGTTCGGATCGGAATATCCGCCCCTCGGGAACCCGCCCATGGGCGGTAACTCAGCAAGCCTCGTTACCGCCCAAGTGGCGGGTCTCCTCGGAACCGATAATCCGATCCGAACCGCAACATATGACAGATATTATTAATACAAACTATTAATGCAACATGGTAGGTGCATATAATTATGATACTTATCTTTTAAGTACATGTATATTGGTTTGCGTATTTGCAAATTGGTTTGCAAATTTATTGTAAACTAGTGTCCATCTACTTGGCCGTCACCACTGTGGGTTCAAATCCCATCAGGGACTTTGGATTCTTCCTTGTGAGGACGCTATCCAGCTAGCTTACGGGACGTCGGTGGTTCTTCTAAGGTTCCAGTTCGTACATGGAGTGGCACTAAGAGACTTCCTGCACTAGTAAAACTGGAAAGTCCAGCTATGGCTTGCCTGTGTTGGTGTGACGAAAACCAATTAGGACTTTTCATGTCATAATTGGAAGTTTTAATAACCTATGAGTAGAGATAAAAGTCTTATTCGTTCTCTGTATAACAACTTAATTGGATGTTACAAGTTCCAGATATTTTACTTATTAGGCTTTAATAGTACTCATTAGGATTTACAATGTTCGAATTAAGATTTTAAATTCGATTCCTTATATTGATTTATCACACACCCGTGCCGATTTTGCGACTCCGTAAATATGGTATTGCACGGCCGTGCATATATTTTGATGTGACGTCATTAGCGTTATACAAACATAGTGTAAAGACGCGCTAAATGTTAGCGTTATACTATAGACGCGTCAATGAAAAATGACTCTTATTTCACTTTAAACGGTCTTTATTTTGGGTATGTGATAAATAGAATATTAAATTCGTGTAAGTTCATTACTGAATTTATAGCACTCGTTGAATAAAATAATATTATGCTCGCCAGAGGCTCGCATAATATAATTTTATTCAACTCGTGCAATAAATTCAGTATTGAACTTACACTCATTCATTATCCTCTACTTAATTTACTTGTACTGACTAGGATTTTTAAGAGTAACAAAGTTGTAGTTAGGTTTATTTCTACCATTAATGAGTAAAGATTCCAGGTTTATTTCTACTAGTAATGAGTTAAAATTCATAATAAGTTGTAACTATGAATAAAAATAATCCATATTAAGCTTTTAGAACTTCTATATTCCAGAAATATCAAAATTCTAATTAGGCTTATAAAATTCCTTTTTACGAGTTAATCTTTTTAAAATTTTGCACCAGACTTTTGAAAATTAAAGATTTTCGACCATGCGACCACATACATGCATCGAGGACATGTTGGAAGGAAAGTGACTGTGCGACCACATACACGCATCTCAGGATTCCCCTTCTGTAACGTGAGAGGGACAAATAGTTGTCCACCCTTTATTTCAGGGCAGACTATACAAATTGCATTTCCTTATTCTTGATAAGGAGGCTAATTTAAACAGATTTGTTTTGAATTGGTTTATATACAACAGCAGTAAAGCAAACAAAGCGGGTTATCAGTGTTCGTCCTTTTAAGTTCGCTTGTAATTTTAAAATGTTCATATCTAATTTCTTGGAAAATTTTGAGTTTACAGTGTTCTCTACTTTTCCTTCTATGTATATTACGGAATTTCTTTATTTAACGTGTCCAAAACGTTTTATATGCATCACATATGGGAGATAACTTTCACACATTGTTTGTTTAAAAAAATTAACCTGAGGGCATTTTTGACATTGGTTCGCATATTCGATTTATCCAACTTGTAATCGAAACGGTAATTTAATGTGCTGCAAGAACAAAGAATGGGTCGGCAGTGCTGACACTGATAAGGCTGTACATATTTGCAAGCCTAACCTAACCATGTGATTTATTTTTATATCACAATAGATTTTTTTAGTTAGCAATAAGGACAAAGCCGGTTCAGTCTAGCCATGCTTACATGTATCTACATACTTGTAAATTCATTTCGATTCCAGCAGTATAAAGTATAAAACGGGGCCACAGTCTGTTAATCTAATGAGACATATATTTAGTGCAAAAGAGCTTGTTTAGCGAATACTCTTCAATTCAGTTCAATTTTTGATACTGTACAGTACACACGTATTGAGATTTTGTGCTCTATTGTGTACACATTATACATGTAATACACCCCTGATGAAGGCATAATACGCCGAAAGTACTTTAGCACTGTATGAACGTTTATTTTCTCCAAATTTATTGGGTTTTTTTTCCACGTTCTTGTATCCTTCTTGGGATCCAGTGTTTTTGAAAAGTATTTTGTAGATGCAAATATTTTTCACAAACCTATATTGCTTTGATGGAAAGTATGCAATACCTAAAATATTTGTTGGCATTATCGTATGTGGATGTTGATAATAAAATGTTACAGAACAAATCATTTGTAATTTATGATATCAGTGTCATATTAACCCATTGCTTCATGAGCATTTTGTGAAAAATGGCTGTTTTCATTGAAAAGTCTCCCGTTACAAGTTCAAATTGCTATAATACTATAAAAACTGCTTCAACACTAATCAAACTTGGCACAAATGTTGACTGGACCATTGCCCTTGCAACAACATGCTCAGGCTTAAATTTTCTGTTACCATGGCAACGAGGGGACATCTCAAAATTGCCAAAAATCACTATTTTGCGTTGATTTTTTCCATCAAAATTGATTTCAAAGTGCTGCAACTTCTCAATGGATTGAGATAGAGTCAAATGCTTTTCAGCGTTGGTAACACGTTACCTTATGATCAATCTGGGGCCATTTACAGCCTCTCACAAGTCCAAAATTTTCTTGGCGATGAGGGGGACTCCGCCCCCCTTCAAACCCCCCAAACAGAAGGGGGCACATCCCCCTTCTGGCAACCCCCTGATGTATCTTTTGGTTGGGGGGCCGCGCCGAAAAAGAGGTCACTTTTTTTAACAACATTTCTCAAACAAAAACAAGTGTTGGGGGCCTAAATAAGGCATTTTTTCATCATTTGAGACAGCAAAAAAGGGGGGGGGGTGAAAAGGCGTTAAAAGGCGTGTATATGAAGTAATGGGTTAAATAAAGTAGAACTATATAAACAGTTTTGGGCTCAAGAAATATATTGTAAGAATTTTCCAAATCATACGTTTCTATTGCTTTATCAACATGATCAATATTTGAAAATTTTATTGTAAACTCCCCAATGTGGACCAATCTACTTTAAAAAGTATTTTTCATCTGGGGTCGGTATGTGGATCATTCCTTTCTATCCCAAAGTTAATAAAAATGCGAACATTTACGAAACGGTAGTGTTGCGACATTTGACAGTAAGGGAAAATCGTGCGACATTTAATGTTACCGTTGTGTAATGGCAGATGATTGTGCGACATTTAGCGGCAAGTGCGACATTTAGCTGGGTTGCAACATATAACGGCGCCAAAACAACCAAAGAAGCAGCACTGAGCATGTAGAAATGTGATTTGAAGGTAGCAACATATAAACAAAGAAGTATTCTGACGTCCATTCAAAATAAAATTCACTATAATTATACCAATTGCCAACATAACAAACCACCAAAGATTGTTTATGTACGTATATGGTATATGACACGTATTTCTTGAAAACTGTAACAAGGTACCAAAAAATGTAAAAAAAAATTTTTTTGAGAAACAATAATTTCAGCATTGGGCCTCTAATGTCTATGTAAATGTTCAGCTTGCCAATGAGTATTTTTAGTTTATTTAATGTCCCCAAAGGCAACAATAAATGCACGAATCACTAAATGATATAAATTCACATAAATCTCGATATTTCAAAAATACATTTATTACGCCAAGTCTCTGGATTGTTGTGAAAGCAATTCGATTTGAAGGCTTATTTCAACGACGCTTTCCGAAAATAACAACTGCTTGTATTTCAAGAGAAAACAGATTTATTGCGACGATGGAAATCTGAGGTTAAATATGGAGATCTGAGATAAAAATGGAAATCTAAGGTCAAAGATGGAAATCTGAGGCTAGTCAAAGATGGAAATCTGTGGTCAAAGGTGTAAATCTTAAGTCAAAGATGGAAATCAGGAACAGAAACTCACCTATGAGAATAGTAGAAAGTTATTTCTTCCATCAACACACAGACTGAGAAATGAATTATGAACTCCGCCATTGTGGGTAAGTTGTATGATAAATCACTTCCCCTTAACTTGTGGAGAATGTAATGTAAAACACCGTATGGCAGACCTACTATAAGATAATTGACTGTCAATTGGTTCATTAATTTCTTTAAGTTGTCTCGATCTACCTGGAATTATATAAATGACGTTATTAACGGAGGACTATCTCTAGATGCTTGCAGAAATCATGCCGAGTTTCACATTTTTCATTCATTATCGTATTTAAAGTATTGTGAAAAGATTAATTAGATGCTTTAAAAAGCATTTCGATGGGTGAAAAGGCGAGATAGATTTTGGCATTTAATCATCCAAGTACCTTGTCCGGTATATACCTGAATATGGTATTTACTGTGTCTAAAATTATATAGAATACCAATGCATGACCGACTTATTTATTATGTTTTTTTTTTGTTTTTTTTTCACTCAAATAATGGAAAGGAGAGCGAAATTGTCATTCGCTGGTATCAGAAAATGCTAGTATATAGTAGCACATTCGTACAAATGGTTGCCGTCGATGCTCTTACATGGACCTCTGTTCGAAGAAGTTCATCCTGTTAAATGAGTAAAGCAGCTGAAGGTGTAAGTCTCCGCAAGTAAGCCGGGTTACAAATGTCAGCTACATAAAGTATCCTTAAGACTATATATAAACTTACTGGTTGGTTTTTACCCGGCTGTGTCTTGTACTTGAGCATCCATTTAGGTTTACCGTACAGATCTGTATACAGGAACAGGGCACTAGCCAGTCCATAGGAGCCGAAGAAAACTATGTTCAATGCTAAAAAAGGGCAATTTAAGTATTAATTATCATATTTCATATGAACACTCTCAGAAAAATTACTACATTGGTACATTTATGGAATACTTAGTGTTTATCTTACAGGATAGGATTTCAAAGTTAAATTACTGTGGTTAAGGTATCTGCGACTTAAACCGTGTGATCGCGGGCTCGAACCCTACTGGTGCCATGCTCATGTTCACCAGTATATACTTGTTAATTTCAGTAGCGCAATTGGTTAAAAGACATAATTATACGAAGTGATAACTTGTGTAAGGTGATCCGTTATATTAATTAAGTGAACGAGTACATAAACCTAGAATTCTTTATACAAGGAATTAATAATGTTCATAATAAAGTTTTTATCTGGCAAGTTAAAATTCAACGTATATGTACAATGTTTCTTACCCAAAAATGTGTTTAATCCTTCTCCAAATGAAAGGTCATTCAATCGTGTCCGAAAATCAGAGCTTGAGAGAGTGTCCGTCTGTCTTTCCATGCTGACATGTACAATAATTCCTATCAAAATAACTATATATTTACGCTTTCGAACACATATGTAGCTTTATATCATAGACGAACAATATATAATTTTATCTGTTTACTCGATTTATCAGGCCAAATAGTGTTACAATTTAAATTAAAGATAACCGAAACACAGTATTTACACTAATGACTATGGTCAAAGTTAAGTAATCCATTATTGACTGCCTACACTTTTATTACCTCCCTTTCATTGTTTAATAGTATAACCAGTGACCCGAATCGGGTCAATATACATTTGTTTACAAAATGGCGATAAATATAAAAAAAGGGACAGGTTACTGAATAAATAATCTGAAATAAATAAGCGTTTTATAAAAGATGTTACGAATAAATGATTACGGGATCTGGTGCTCGAAATACTTCCTTGTATATTTATCAATTAATAGAAAACTTAACATACCTTAAATAGTTTAGACATTGTAGTATACCACCACAGGAGCTATCGTCACGGAACTTGGAAGCTCATTTGCTAATCAACACGGATCAGAATTGTTATGGATAATTTCGTTTTAAGCCCACAACTCGTTTAAGCTGATTCAATCTCAAATCAAAATTTATAAAACAATACATATGTAAAGAACAACTTTATTACTCTTAAAACTCAATTTTCAAACATTAACTATTAAGGATAAAACAATATGGGTTTTGCTCATATTTAATATACAAAGAAAAATGTATTGCATTTTACAAATGAAGATAACAAATGTTTAATTACCTACATTTATTGTTATTTTCAACGACCTTAATTGTACAGCGGTGATTTACCTAGAGCGTTCAATCATTAAAGCTTCATGCCTCCAGATGAGTCAATTTATTTCACGAAAATGTTATATGTTACATGTTACATGTATATGCGATTGATGACTGATTTTATAGTATTTATAACCAAAACTCTACTGTGTGGCGTCGTTATATATATGTCGCACCATTGCGGCTAAATGTCGCAACCGCCGCTAAAAGTCGTAAAATTCCATGCCGTTAAATGTCGCAATAGGAGCCTTGAAATGTCTTTTCGTTAGATGTCGCAACACTACCGTTTAATATCGCAATATGTATATTCATCATGATAAAAAAAATATTTTAGCTGGTGGTATGAAATTACAATAAACATTGAGTAGATGTCTATACTTATTTAGCAACTTTAAGACATAAAGGAAAATTTCGATACATATGCCGACATAAGATGAGAAATGCTTTTTAAGGTGGATTGTGTTTACAATGGGCACATTTCAAGACATATTTCAATGAAAAAAAAGAAACATATCAATTGAATATTCTTACAAAATATTTCTTAAATTAAAATGTTTATTTAGTTTTTATATATGTTTTAATGTGACATTTATATGATGAATTACAAATACTCTGTTCCAGAACATTTTATTATCAGTATCCACATAAAATTATTGCATGGTTTGTTAACACACATGATACTTAATACTATAAACATAAATATTTATGGCATTGCATACTTTCATCATAAACCAATTCACTTTAAATGTTATTTTTATTTGAAATTAAAATGTAAAAACCATTGATTAAAGTATACTATGCAACTAAGATACATGTTTGGTACACACAATTGTAGCGCCGATATATGTCCAAACGTCGAAAAATGTCCAAACGACGATAAATGTCCAAAAATTGACGATAAATGTCTCAATCGCCGATAAATGTCCAAAACTCCTTTAACGATAAACGTCCAAAAATTAACGAAAAATGTCGCAACAAATTAGGTGCTCATAAATGTCCAAATCGGTTAACGATAAATGTCTCAATTTTTAATTTGTAATTTATTGTATTGGATACTGTAACAGTCTATCCAACTAACCCGTGATTTTACCCTCTGGTTTACCCCCGACGTAAAATGTATCATACATTATTGTGCATGGCCAGTTGCAGATCCGGATGGGGCGCGGGGGCATGTGCCTTCTTAACTCACCGCAGCAATACGTTTCAGCATTGTTTGTGTTCTTCAATATTTTTGTGCCCCATATAGC